CGCAGCCCCTGCTACCCGGGGCCGGAGGCTCTCGGCCTCCCCGGGGTCGTGGTTGGCGCCCAACGCGCTCGCCCGGCCCCAGAGCGTCGAGTTGGGCATCGGCGCGGGGTGGGAACGCGGCTCCGCATCCAGCGCGGAGCCTGGAGCTGGGAATCGCATGGACGGGGCCAAACCCCGGGATGGAGGCATCTGGAGCAGGGGAGGACAGTGGAGGTGCTGCAGCAGCGCACGGGAGCCCCTCAGAGCTTTTATTTCCAGCAAAGAGGAGAAAAAACAGGAGGGAAAAGAGCAATGAGGGGATAAGCTGCAGCGAGAAGGGATTTGCTGGAGTGTTTCCTCCTGGCCCGTGTTGGGACTTGCTCCTTGGCTTTGCTGTTCAGAGCTGCTGCAGCTCTAGAGACCCACAAGAAACCGGTTTTATGTGGAAATGGTTCAAGTTTTATTTTGAAGTTTCCCTTTTCCTATTTCTTCAGCATTAGCAGTGCCAGGACATGGGAGGGCTAAATAAGTTACACTAAGAATGATTACAAGAGCGTTGCTTACTGGGAAGCAAAAAGGACCTGGATCTCCCCTAATTTAGTGACAAGATATCCCATAACCATGGAGCAGAGCTTGTGGAAAAGGCTGCCTCCTAAACCAACTTTTAAATGGCTGCAAAATGTTTTATTGAAGTTACTTAAACATAAACAGAGGGTCTTAGAGTCATTAATACAGATGAAGAAAATAATTCCACTGGAAATGGGCGTGCTTGAAAGAAAATCCCAGCATGAAGTTACTTTAATATAAGCAGAGGGTCCTTAGAGTCATTAATATAGATGAAGAAAATAATCCCACTGAAAATGGGCGTGCTTGAAAGAAAATCCCACCTTGTGTTTTGTCCTGGGAAAGTGTTTGGCTGTTGTGTAAAGAGAAGTCTCCTGGGAGAGCCCCTTGTCCCCAGCAATTCCTGGGCGGCTGCAGGTCTCGTGGGAAGCAGCATCCCAAATCTCTTATGGAGGGTTTTAAACTTGTAGCAGAGGGGAAATAGTATCAAGGTCAAATGTGGAGGAGTTTAATTAAAAAAAAAATCCAATTTTTAAAGTGAGTTTTAAGAGCACTTCTGTCCTACAACTCTTCTCAGCAAGAATAAGCTGTTTACGCATACTTATTTCAAAAAAGCCAGAATGCAGGTCCCCGTGTCCCCCTGCTTTAATTAAAGGTTTGCAACCTTTGTGCCAGCATCAACCCACCTTGGTTATCAAGTCTCCTTGCAAACTACATCTTACTGGGAGCTCAGCTACACCCCTCGGGAGCCTGGGATGGTGTAGGAGGCACGCTGGTGTCAGGATTAAAACAAATACAAATAAAAGTTTTAGCCTTGGAGCTTGGCTAGAAGAGTAGAGACTTTTCAGAAGTCCTTTGGTGCACTAGTTGCCACCTCCTCTGCTGATTTTGTTACCTTTTGTGTGTATTTCTCTATCTTCTTCTCCAACTCCTCTAGCACTTCTGACCCTACCCCTAGGGCCCTTTCTGCCCCCTTTGCTTCCTCAGGTCCTTGAGCTGCCTCCTGCGGGGATGGACCCTGTTCTGAAGCGGGTGATTTCAGGTCAGTCATCACCCTACACCTCTTTTGGGCCTGGAAGGGCCCCACGAGCCAGTTCAGAGGCACGTTCTGAGTCACGAATTCCAGCAGCTCCTCGAGGGACCTTTGGGCTTCCCTCACAGTGTCCTGGCTCTGGCTCAGGGTGCTGCTGGAGAGGTCCTGGAAGGACTTAGCCCTGGAAAAATCCGCATGGAGCTTCTGGATGTTTTGGGTGGCTTGATGCACAGCCGCCTGCATGGTGCCGGGCAGGCCGTGGATGGCGGCTTTGAGGTTCTCGTACGCAGGCTGGAGCTGCTGGGTGATGATCCGCAGCATGGCCAGGGTCCGGGGCTCTACCTGCTGGGAGACACACGGAGCTCAGCGACTGCAGCGGAGGAGGTGCCCGCTAGCCATTAAAAAAAGGCTGGATTTTGCCCTTCCAGGGGTACCTCTGCTTGGGAGGCAGTTTTAATTTGATGTCCCTTGGGCTGGGTCAGGCTCCAGTCTACCCACAGCTGATAGAGTTTCTCCTGCCCATCCAGAAGCTTCTGGCCAACCTCGTTTTTCACACATTCAATCTGATCGGGGAAAAAAATAGAGAGGAACAGTTACATTGCAAGCACGTACAGAAACGGCAGCGCTCCCGTGTGAGCGCTGGCATCCCAGAATGGACAGGAGCTTCCAGAACCACCATCTGCAGCCTGTCCCCTGCCAGGAGGGACCCAAAGGGACAGGCAGCAGGAAACCCACTGCAGCTGCAGGATGGAGGCAGCACCTCCACCCGGGAGGTACTGCAGAGCCGTCTCTGCAGGCTGGGGTGAGAAGGGGGAGCGTTGCTGGTACCAGGTTTATCGCCCGCTGCAGCTGGGACAGGGTGTCCTGGGCGCTGCGCCCGACGTGCTGCAGCTTGTTGAGCGAGTGCCGGTAGGCGCCGGGGCGGACGGCGGCGGGCAGGGCCCCCAGGCGCACGAAGTAGCCCTGCTGCTCCCTCTGCTCCTGCACGGAGGCCACGTCGGAGCCCGCGGCGGCGGCCAGCTGACCTGGAGGGAACCACGGAGACGCGGCCGTCAGCGGGTGCTCTACACTGCGCCCCTGTCCCCACCTTTGGCTCTGGGCCCACCGGTGGCAAAAAGGTAGGATACCCCCTTGGGAAACGCGGGAGGAAGCTAAAACTCGCTCTACGAGCAGGAGAGGTTGGCAGCTGTTCAGAGACTGCACATGGAGCAGTCCCAGCTCGAAGGGGTCTCTCCAGAGGAGCGGACGTGACGGCTCGGTTGCCACCTTCCCTGGAGATCTTCAAACCCGCTTGGACGCAGCCCTGTGCCACGTGCTCTGGGTGACCCTGCGTGTGCAGGGGGTTGGACTAGATGATCTCCAGAGGTCCCTGCCGACCTTAAGCATTCTATAATTCTATGATTCTAACCTGCGAGCGCTTGGACTCTGGCCCATACTGTGTAGCAAGGCAGTGTTGCCACCAAGCCAACCGGTGACATTCAGAGCTACATGACTACTTCAGCAGAGGATTCCTGCAGTGCCAGGTGCTCTCTGGTCACATGGAAGGGGATTTGCGTTTGCAGCTACCAGCTGAGCATTTTCTCACCCAGTTCCTCCTCTGTCATGGGGAGGCAG